AACCTCAAAAGTGATCACGTGCAGATTTTTGAAGTTCTTTGTGTCTGTATTGCCAAAAAAACCCCCACTACGTCAATTTTGGAAGCTGTATTTTTTATAGGTGTGAAGATGGCAGCATTTTGTATTTCAGGGATTTAGTGCTGCAATTTCTAAGGCCTGAAGAAAACTTGATCGTTGAGAGAACATAATTTGTATTTAATGCTGGCTTTAATCGAAAAAGGAGGAGTCAGGGCCCAGGTAGATCGAGGGCAGGGTAAAACTCAGTGGTGTGCGGAATATTTCTAACCATGCTTTGAGTAGGATTCCTATACTGTAATTTTTGCAAGCATTACAACAATAGTAATGTTTCAGCCTTAACAATTTCCTGGAACCTCAGCTGTGCCCTACTGTTAGAGCACTATAGGGTTGTGTGTCATGGTTGCCCATTCCTAGAAGAACATAACAGATGCTGAATCTGGTTTTCTGATTTGAACACCTTTTAAATATGTGTTTATGTGGCTTGCTGCATAGGAATTGGAATTATTAAAACATTTGAGAATGACGTATGTGTATATACATTTCTCTGAGCTGTGATAACACTATTGAGTTACGGTGGGGAGCAAGTGAAGCTTTCTTAGCTATGGCTGTGTCATCTGTGCCAGTTGGACATCACTGAAGGAACTTTGGTCAATTACATGGTTCTTCTTCTCTTAACTTTATTTTTAACTTTATATTGCAGAGGAAGTACCAAGATTAATGCCAGAAGAGGGGAGCATGTATTATCCAAGGGTGCAACACTATAGAGAGCTTTTAGACTCCTTGCCTATGGATGCCTACACACATGGCTGCATCCTGCACCCCGAGTTAACAGTGGACTCCATGATTCCAGCCTATGCTACCAGCAGAATTCGTAGTATGTACTGGTATAGCTCTGACTATCTATCAGTAGGCTTTTGAATTACATTCATCTTCTTAAATGCACCTTAAGCAGAAGATATTGAGCACAGTTTATGAATTTTAGTTGCAGTCATTGATGATTTGTCCATATACTTTTTATTGATTGTGTAGTCTCTTATGATTTGAAAATGGAAAAGAGGAAGTGTCGTTTTTGAGGTGTCTGTGGAGTTAATTTTTGTACTATGGTAAACTTCTAAATAATGCTTTTATGTTTCCTTCTAAGTATTACAAACAAACTAAGTAGTTCTAGTACAAGGATCAAATCCTGACAACATGGCTGGATGATGATTCCCTGTTTACATTATATCCTGAGATCTTTGATTTTTTTGTGAATGTCAGTGGTTTATATTGTGTTGATTTTTTTGTATGATATTTTAGAATGCTCCGTAGAATACAGTCAAATACTGCAGAGACTTTGAAATGCAATACTACTATACTGTTACTAAATTCATGATATCATAAAAGGCGATACTGTGTTACTTTGAGAAATTCTATTTCCAACAAATTGTGTTATCCTCCCCCTTAAAATTTTTGGCAAGTCAGTTCTCTTATTAGAACTTAGCCACACTTTTGTGTTGTCAGAAGTAAAGGCAGGCAGTTAATTTTCCATATAGTTGCATGAACTACGTAGCTGAAGTAACACAGAATCATAGAATGGACTGGGTTGGAAGGGAGACCTTAAAGATCATCTAGTTACAACTCTGCTGCCATGGGCAGGGACACCGTCCACTAGAGCAGGCTGCTCCAAGGCCTATCCAGCCTGGCCTTGGAGACTTCCAGGGATGGAACATGCACGACTTCTCTGGGCAACCTGTTCCAGTACTTCACCCCCTTCGCAGTAAAGAATTTTTTCTTAATATCTAGTCTAAATTTGCCCTCCTTCAGCTTAAAGCCATTCCCATTTGTACAAGAAATTTATTATTCTCCTATGTCAGTGTACTGTTTGGTTTAGTGTTTTTTTTTTCCCCAAATGTGAATGCTAACTATTTATTGAGCAATTGTGCTTTACTCATAGGCATTGTTGATATTTTTTTGAGTTTCACGTGGTAATAGTCAGTGCTTCTATTATAGTTCACTTTACGACATTGTCTTCTGCATTTCTCACTGTATATATTTCTACCCTCTAGCTTCTAGCTGGTATAAATTGTTGTCAGTTTGCACATGTTCATAGTGGTAGAGCTAAAATTATCACTCATCTAAATTGGGATGTTTTCTTACCTTTTTGTACTTAAAGCATAGCCTACTTTTTTGATTTGAAGCATTTTTTTTAATAGCTTGTGAATGTTCCTGAACAATTCCTTTGCACGTTCAAACTTTTCCTTGATGGTTTAGTTTTCAGTTTTGAAAAGCTAATCTTTTTCAGACTGCTAGATGTAATAAGGCATGAGCCAGTTCTGTATTATGTTTATGCATACCAAATCCAAGCAAATAATTAATTGGATGTGTAAGATCTTAGTTGTGTGATTACATCCTTCAATTTCTTCATATACTATGCTGAAAGATGGCTCTCACAGCCATGTCAGGTTGAAGTGAATATATAAAACAGTGAGTTCATTATTCTCTAGAAAGAATTTTTATCAGTTTGATTTATAAGACTTAATTGGAACTAAACTTAATTATCAAGTACCAGTGAGGGGTGATTCATGCTCTATAATTATTCTTTTGTTCTCAGTTTATTACTAGAAAAACTTATTTTTAGAAGAAGACTTATTATTCACTATCTTTTGGTATTCTAGATCTGTAAGTATGGCATTTTCCAGCAAAGTCCCATTTTAAGGAGAGAAAAGGCTATACACATGTAGTAGAAACCAGTAAAATTATCTTAAACTTTTCACATCCTTCCTTCTTTAAGTCATGTAATGAATGTTTTTCTAGAACATCCACATAGTCCTTAATGAACATTTCCAAAAGGGATCACATACTTTGGTATAACATTCTAGCTAACTGAAAACACCATATTCAGTGGTATTTAGGCTTTTGCTTTGAAATTATGCATGTAACCTGAAGTGACCTTCAATAAATCTCAGTCCGGGCCTGTCTGCACTTTCACAGCATGACAGGTGTGTTAGGAACTGAGGTACAAAAGCATCAGAGACCTAATGTATTTGTAGTAGAATTTTATGGATTTAGCACATATTTTGGCAGCAAATTTTTTTTTCTGAATAAGAGAAAAGTATTAATGAGATTTCCTCATTTTGGCACCACTATAGAGGACATTGCAAATTGATGAGCTAAAGGTGTGGTGGGATCAATTTGAGCAGCAATTAAGTTTTCCAAAACATGATGTTTTTAAGTCCTGACTTGGAGCTGATGCTGTATTGAAGTACCACTTCCCACGTGGTGTGATATTTGCACACAGGCTATTGATCAGTCCCTGTGGATTGCGTTGTGAGTACATTTGGATATCTAATATTTGTCATTCCTTTTTTTTGTTTGGTTTGGGTTTTTTGTGGTGTTTTTTTGTGTTTGGTTTTTGTTTGTTTGTTTTTGTTTTGTTTTTTTTTGTTTTGTTTTTCAATCAGGCCAAATAAGTAACACAGAATCAGAATTGAGGAAACTTGCGGAAGAAAATCCAGACCTTCAAGATGCCTATATTGCAAAACAGAAGCGCCTTAAAGTAAGGAAGCTCTTTGTATTCCCCCACTTTATTATGAGCTTGTTAGTGTTAGATTCTTTTTTTGTCACAATGTAAATATTTGTTTCACCTGTCATTACCAGTAGTGTCATGCAGTGGTTTAACCCTTCAAGGCATGAAGCAGTCTGCCCCCCAGATCAGCTACACACTTCAAGTGTGTGCTGAAGTACTGGACTGGTCCTACTGACTTCAAAGGTAAGTACACATCAGTGCTGGTATTGGGCTGTTGAGCACCCTGAAGGGTGAGGCAAACCTCGATATGTAGCATCTCTAATGTTTTTGTTCAGTTATCTGTCACCAGTATCCAAATGGTATCCAGCTGACTGTGTGGAGAAAATAATCACATTTTATGAATAAACACTGTAGTATCTTAAGTAAAAGATTCTCTGATAAAAATATAAACTCTGTATGATGATTAAAACACTAACCTGTGTATATATTTAGTCTAAGCTGCTGGATCATGATAATATAAAATATCTAAAGAAAATACTGGATGAACTGGAAAAAGTTTTGGATCAGGTTGAGACTGAATTGCAGCGTCGAAATGAGGAAACACCAGGTAAACTATTATTATTGCTAAATCCTGTTGATGCTTGTGTTTCGGGAGACTGAGTAAACTTGTTGTCAGCACCATTATAGAACTGCTTTTAATGTATCTGATTTGTTACTTTTGGTATATACTGATCTAACATCACAAAAGGGATCAATACTGTTTTATATCCTAGCTTACTTTACTGTTGCTGTCAATGAGTTCTCACTGTCTTGTGAGAGTGCTTGATCACATTCTTAGCATAGTATAATTAGCTGCACAATTTTTCAGTATTTTATCAACGAAATCAGAAAAACTTGAACTACAGAATGTTGACGTTGTAATTGTAGGCCTCAGTTCACTATAATGATCACAACCTTAATGTTTAACATAGATTTATTACAATTTTGTGTAAATACTCTGCTGATATTTGTGGTACATGCAGAATGAGCAATCTGGATAATTGCTTTAATTGTTAGGCAACCCCCTTCCCTCACCCTCTTGGAAAGCAGTCCTGTTTACCTGCCATCTACCCAAATGAAAGTCAAATTTTCACAGAATCACAGAATCATCAAGGCTGAGAGAGACCTTCAAGATCATCTAGTCCAACTGTCAATGTAGCACTGCCATAATCACTCCTAAACCATATCCCCAAGTGCCACATCCTGACGCCACGTGAACACTTCCACAGACAATAACTCCACCACTGTCCTGGGCAACTTATTCCAATGCCTGACCACTCTTTCAGAGAAAAAACATTTCTAATATCTAATCTGAACCTCCTGTGGTGCAACTTAAGGCCATTTCCTCTCCTCCTTTTACTTGAGATGTGGCAGAAGAGACCGACCACCTCCAACTCACTACATACTCCTTTCAGTCTCCTCCAGGCTAAACAACCACAGCTCCCTCTGTTGCTCCTCATAAGAATTGTGCTCCAGAGCCTTCACCAGCTTCGTTGCCCTTCTCTGGACTTGCTCTAGCACCTCAATGTCCTTCTTGTAGTGAGAGGCCCAGAACTGAACACAGTACTCAAGATGCAGCCTCACAAGTGCCAAGTGCAGCAGGACAATGGCTTCACTAGTCCTGTTCTGGATACAGACCAAGATACAGGTGGCCTTCTTGGCCACCTAGGCACACTGCTGGCTCATGGTCAGCCAGGACCCCCAAGGCCATTTCTGCTGAGCAGCTCTCAAGCCATTCTGCCCCAAGCCTGAAACATTGCATGGGGTTGTAGTGATCCAAGTGCAGGACCCAGTACTTGGACTTGTTGAATATCATGCAGTTGTCCTCAGCCCATCAATTCAGCTTGTCCAGATCCCTCTGTAGAACCTTCCTACCCTCCAGCGGATCAACACTGCTGCCTAACTTGGTGTCGTCTGCAAACTGACTCAGGGTGCACTGGATCCCCTCATCCAGGTCTTTGATGAAGATGTTAAACAGGACCAGCCCTAATACTGAGCCCTGGAGAACACCACTTGTGAGCAGATGCCATATGGATGTAACTCCATTCACCTCCATTCTCTGGGCCTGGACATCCAACCAGTTTTCACTCAATGAAGAGTGCACCCATCCAAGCCATGAGCAGATAGTTTCTCCAGGAGAATACTGTGGGAGTGTCAAAGGCTTTACTGACTTCTAGGTAGACTACAACCACAGCCTTTCCCTCATCCACTGTGTGGGTCACATTGTCATAGAAGGAGATCAGGTTAGTCAAACCTTACAAAAGGACCTGCCTTTTGTAAACCCATGCTGGCTGGGCCTGTTCCCTTGGTTGTCCTGCACATGCCATGTAATGGCACTCAGGATGATCTGCTCCATGACCTTCCCTAGTACCAAGGTCAGGATGATAGGTCTGTAGTTTCCTGGATCCTCCTTCTGACCCTTCTTGTAGATGAAGGGTCACTAATTTCCAGTCAACTGGGACTTCTTTGGTTAACCAGAACTTCTGGTAAAAGATTGAAAGTGGCTTGACAAGCTTTTGCCAGCTCCCTTCTTACTCTTGGGCACATCCCATCTGGGCCCATAGACTCATGGGTGTCTAACTGGCATAACAGATCACTAACCATTTGCTCCAGGATTACAGGGGCTTCACTTAGCTCCCCGTCACTAACTTCCAGTTCTGGGAACAACTTGTTTTGGTATTGAAGGCTGATGCAAAGAAGGCATTAAGTACCTCAGCCTTTTCCTCATCCCCTGACACTGATTTCCCCTGCATTGACCAAAGGATGGAGACTCTCCTTAGCCCTCCTTTTGCTGCCAATGTATTTATAGAAACTGCTTTTGTTGTCTTTAACTGCAGCATCCAAATGAAGTTCTAGTTTGGCTTTCCTTGTAATTTTCTTGTGCATAACCTCAGAACACCCTTGTAGTTACCTCCCTCCTTCCAGAGGTGATACATGATCTTTTTTACACTGAGTTCCAGCCTAAGTTCCTTGTTTAACTAAGCCAGTCTTTTTCCCTGCCAGCATAGGCGGACAGCCTGTTCCTGTACCCTTAAGATTTCCTCCTTAAAGCATGTCCATCCTTCCTGGGCTACTTTGCCCTTCAGGACTGACTTGCAAAGGACTCTGTCAGTTAATCTCCTAAACAGGCCAAAGTCTGCCTGCCAGAAGTCCAAGATGGCAGTTCTGCTGGCACCTCTCCTTACTTCACTCAAAACTGAAAACTCTTGTCATTTTGTGGTCGCCGTGCCCAAGACAGCCACTGACCACATCACCCATGAGTTCTTCTCTGTTCACAAACAACAGGTCTAGCAGGACACCACCCCTGGAAGGCTCACCTACCAGTTGAGAGCAAGTTCTCTTCCACACACCCTGAGCACCTCCTGGACTGCCTTCTCTCTGCTGTGTTGTATTTCCAGCAGACATCTGGCAAGTTGAAGTCCCCTATGAGTACAAGGGCTGGAAATCGAGAGACTTCTGCCAGCCTCCTGCAGAATGCCTCTTCTGCCATTTCATCATGGCTAGCAGTTCTGTAACATACTGCTACCAGGACATCCACCCTGATGACCTTCCCCTGGATCTTTGCCCACAGGCACTCAACCTTGTCATCATCCTAAATTCTGTTTGAATGGGATTAGTCTTCTGCTTATTCAGAGCCTGGTTCAACTCCCAGTGGTACTAACAGGAGTCCTTCCTCTGACTTCACTGGGAACTGCATGAAGCATCAATCAATATCAACTACATCTGCTCAAATCAATAACTTTTTGCATTTAGTTCTGTAAAAAGCTGTTGTAATAATTACCGGTTACTATCACAACCACAGGTTTGAACTAGTGATTGAAAATCTAGGTTAAATTTTCTACTGACTCAACAGTAAAGAGTCACAGAAAATATTTTTACTCATAAAGGATTTTGTTCAGCAAACTGTGTCACCATTGCCAGCAGCCCCTTGTTTTCTCTGCTAAGTAGCCTTTCCAAGGACTCAACTGCTACAATTTTGATGAGCTTATGAAAACTGCCAGGATCACAGGATTTTGTAAAACATGGGGCTGTTACCTGCCTCTTGGAATTTTGTCTGAGGTATTCCCACTTTTGAGATTTGTGATCAGTGCTTCTCCAGGTCCTGGTCAAACTTGTAACTTCTGCTTCTCTTGCTACTACTCAAATCCCTCATTGAATTACTGCTGCTGCCACTGCAGGTATCTTTCATGGAAGGTAGCTCTTTGGTCTTCCTTTCTATCTTCTTACTTACTTAATGCGCTAGATGAATCCCCAGGTATGCTTTCATCAACCTTGGATACCCTTGTTCTCTAGAGAGGCCTTTCTTCCAGACCTGTTTAACTGGTCAAAATGGACTGGTACCAGCCATGTGCCAAACTGTTGCTTTCCTTTAGTGGCAAATGTGTTGGAAAGGAGATTACTAAATTTTTTTGTTTCCAGAGAGGTACTGCTGAATGTTTGTGCCAGCATTTTTGCATGCCTGTTGTGTGGGAAGAACTGCGAAAGGATACAAATGAGAAGGGAACAGCATAGTCCTATTTGAGAACTAGGCTAGAGCAGAGTACTCATGCTGACAGCTATGGTAACTATTAGTTTTCATATCCTGGGTTTGAAAAGCTCTCAGTGTAGTCAATACAGGTCAGCCCTGTCACGTGGTGGTGGTGGTTCAGATCACTGACACTGCTCTGAGCCATACCAGGAAGATTCGTCTCTTTCCTTCAACTGTAGAGGGAACCTGGGGTCTCTATCTGTGCTCATGACTAGTGGTGGGCAGTGTGAATATCTGTCACTTCTCAAACATCTCAGTGTAAAAACGCCATGGTCACAAAAGAAGGACAGGTAGACAAGCTCTGTCTTCTCACTGAGCTGGTGTGTTTGGTGCAGGTCAGTTGTCTGATCTGTTTGGTTTTGACTTGAAAGCCTACAGCAATTTAGCTGGAGTTAGTTCTTGAGTGAATGCCATAGAGCTGAGTGACATAGGCAAGATGATAAATTCTTCAGACAAGTGGTAACTTTTTACTAAAATTTAAACTGCCTTCCTCCTTTCCGGTCCTGTTTAATTTAATCCAGATTCGAGAAATGTAGTTGAGGAAAATAACTGTTTACTGTGAGCTTTAATTTATGAACCTGGAATGTCACTCTTTTTTTCCTTAACAAATGTAGTCCTGGCTGCTGAGCCTAAGACTTTACAATATTGTGCAAAGAATGGACAGGGATTACTAAAATGTTCCTTGATTAAAGTCATATCTTAGCTGAAGTGTTGGTGGTGTTTATTAGACGGAATTTGAAATAGCACTAAACTAAATATTAGCTCCTAATTCTTTATGTTTTATCTCTGCTTAGAAGATGGAAATCAACCTTGGCTCTGTGGTGATTTCTTCAGCCTAGCAGATGTATCACTTGCCGTCACATTACATCGCCTGAAGTTTCTGGGATTGGCAAGAAGAAACTGGGGAAATGGAAAGCGGCCCAACTTGGAAGCCTATTATGAGCGAGTTGTGAAGAGAAAAGCATTTTATAAAGTTTTGGGACACGTCAACAATATATTAATCTCAGCTGTTCTGCCAACGGCATTCCGTGTGGCCAAGAAAAGGGCTCCGAGGGTTCTTGGCACCACCCTGCTGGTCAGCCTCCTGGCGGGAATGGGTTATCTTGCTTTCCTGTGTCTTCGGAAGAGGTTTGCCAACATGATGTTACCGATTAGAACCAAGCAAAATTATTTTTAGACCTATCTGTCCCTGATGGTGAGTGGAAGGCATCTCTCCACCACAGGAAAATATCCCCAATAAAATATAAACATAGATGAAAGATTATGTCTGTGAATTAGAACATTGTCACACACTAATCATCTCCTGCTGTTGTATAATTGGGTTGGCAATGCTGAGATATTTTTCAAAAATGTATGTTGGGGAGGCAACAAAGGAAAGAAGAGACTTTCTTTTCAGCCAAGGACCTATAACTGTGACAGTGCTTTGTTAAAGTGGTTATCGTCTCCTTTACCCAGTAGCTGACCTAATTATAATGCTTTTATTTAATAGATATGCAGCAATGCGACAGCTTTTCACTGTAGGTGAAATGCGTTATTGTGCAGAAACCAGCATTGTTAAAATACTGAAAATAGCTCTTTAAATGCTCAGAGTAGAATTTAAGTGGACCATCGGCTCTGTGCCTGTTGTGTACAGGGGCTAGTTTCTCTATACTGATTAATGTTTATTGATTTGCAGTTGGACCTTTAGGATGTGTTTAAAAGTAGTCTTGTGAAGCCATTTTTGTCGCTGTATGTTCATGCAGCAGTACAGGAAAAGACTTAAGACAGGTAAGAACATCAGTGAGTTGTGAGCCACACGAGTGAAATTCTCCAGAGGCATCACTGGGCAACAGGTACTAGACTTTTGCTGAAACACAGGTGGGAGTGAAAAACCTGGCACTTGTCTTTCAAAAGCCTTTTGGGCTTAGCTGCAAACTCTGGCAGAATCAAATCAAACTATCTTGGTGCACGCTTGCTGCTTTCCTTGGGGTGGCTTGATATAATTGCCTCGGTATGAGTGTTCTTTTTTCACTCTGAGCATTGGGTATTTTTTGCACACTTCTTGTCTGCATTAACATTTGCATGTGCCTCTATGAAATGTTTGCCCCCAACGTGCCACAACCGGCTAGAAAATGTATGCACAACAATGCATTTTGTAAAAGTAATTTAAAATAGTTCACTATCAGTCTGGTTAGGTAGCCTAGATTGAAGGTGAAGCTGTAATTTAGCAATCTGTTTACTTATGGAGAGGTGTCATGTTGGTGGTAAATGAAAAATATA